AAAATCTTTCTCCAACCTTCACCTCATGGTCCCCTTTCTTAGCTCAGGATCAGGACAAGTTTTCTAAAAAACTCAATTTTTTCCAGAACTAAAAGTCCATTTCTCATTCAACACTAATTTACTCTAGTTTGAGTTAGCTATATTTATTTGTAGAACTGTTAAGCACTCCTGTGTACTGTACTGCTAAAATTGGTAAGATCTCTGCTGTTTGAAAATATATACAATAAAGCTCTGCAGAAAATGTTTAAATTAACAGTTTTCCAGCAGAAAATGCAGTTTAATCAAAACAATAGCATTTTCTGAAATCATTCCTATTTCGATGAACATGTATTTGAGAAAAAGCTCTTATTAAGAAAAGAATTAGAAAAAATGTGCTTAGAAATGATAATTCTTTTATATGAAATTTTAGCTTTGACATTTAATTTATTTTATTTTATGATGTGTAATCTTATACCACCTGACTTGTTATGTACTGCTGCTACAGATATGTCATGTGTGTTATTCTTTGACATCAGTGTTGAAATATTTCACTTTTTTATTTTTTATTTTATTTCATTTTACAAAAATACAGACAAGCCTTGAAAATTGCTTAGGATATTAAAACAGATGCTCTACATCTTGAACCTCTGTGGTCCAGGACTCTCTGGTCTGGCAGGACCATGGATATTGCTGGACCAGAGAGCCCCTGTAGCAGAGGTTGCCAGTGGTTTGAAGCAGAACTGGCCAGTGTGGCTACTGGGGCAGCAGAGCCTGCGGGGCAGTAAAGCTGGCAGGGGCCACTGGAGCCTGCAGGGCTGCAGAGCTGGTGAGACCACAAAGCCAGTAGGGCCACAGAGCCCAGTGGGGTCACTGGAGCCAGATAGGGCTATGTATCTAAGGTGGGGCCAGAGGCAGCAGAGCCTGGTGGTCAGAGAAAGGAGCCCAACAGGGAGGCTGGCACCTACACCTCTCCTTCTCTCAACCTCCTATAGTCTGACAAACTCCCTTGTCCAGGTCATGTCAGGTCCTGAGGGTGCCGGACCAGGGAGGTCTAACCTGAACTAATTAGTACTGAGAACTTAACTTTTTTTCACTTGTTCAAAGTACAAAAGCTGTTTTTAATAAAATAGAAGTGATAAGATGTGACATAGAAATTTGAAATTTTGACCAACTCAATAAAAAGACCTTTTCAGATCAGTTCAGTTCAGACTGTACAAGACGAGAACACATCATTCTCTGCTCCTCATAGCCTCTGTCCTCACTGCAAAGTGGGCAGAGTAGCTTTATGAAAGATTCACTCAGGTTTAGCCTACTGCCTCAAAGGAGCTAAGTAGCCAGGGTTGAAAGCAGCCTTACACTCAATGAGAAGTTTGCATATATGAGCAAAGGTTAATTCTGAATTGAAGGCATACCCACAGAGAGCTTTTCTCTTTCCTGCTGTGGTACTTTCTTTAGTAAAATAAAAGTTATTCTGACTGAAAATTTTGTTTTGGGGCATTTTTAACATTTAAAAATAAAATGTAAATGAGGTTGAAAAATGCAATGTCATTGTGACTTGAAAAACATTGAGGGTATGTCTACACTGCCTCCCTAGTTCGAACCAGGGTGGCTAATGTAGGCCTTCAAACTTGCAAATTAAGTCCGGTATTTAAATATCCCAGGCGCTGCCATTTTTAAATGCCCCGTAGTTCGACCTCCCTGCCCGCGGCTACACACGGCATGGACTAGGTAGTTCGAATTAAAGCTCCTAATTCGAACTACCATTACTCCTCATTGCAGGAGGACTAATGGTAGTTTGAATTAGGAGCTTTAATTCGAACTACCTAGTCTGTGCCGCGTGTAGCCACAGGCAGGGGGGTCCGCTCGGGAACATGCAAATAAAGCCCAGGATATTTAAATCCCGGGCTTCATTTTCAAGTTCAAATGCCTACATTAGCCACCCTAGTTCGAACTAGGGTGGCAGTGTAGACTTACCCTTAGATTTTTTTTTCAAAGTTTAGAGGATTGCTTTTTTTATTTATTTTTGTTTTTATTGAAACAACACTCTGCATTCTGTAGCAATTTGTTAAATGTATCTGTGGAACTGAATCTACAGTTTTCACTGAAAAATATGGAAGAAAAATGTTGCCCAGCTTTAGGCACAACAGAGTGAGGGACACATAGTCCATCTAGTCCCTGCAAGAATTTACAAACTAAGAGTAAATATGTTGCACTAAGAAGGGATTAACAAACAGTATATGAGAAGGCTAGAAAATAGATGAAGGTGTAGGAAGACATCAGTTAAACCAACAAAAACCAACCAGTTGCTACCCATTCACCTATTTCGGCTTAATTTCAAAGGTTTTATTCTGTTTTCATTTTCAAACATTTTTATATCATTAATGTTAAAAGAAATACTGATGTAATTATTGTGTGATCTAGGGAAGAAAATCCTTTATATTATTACAAAACTATGGTTGACCCATAAAGTGTAGATTTTGAAAATGTGATTGTTTTAGATCAGTGAAGCTAATTGTCATCATTTAAGAAGATTTTTGAAAAGACTTAACATCGATCTGCAATATTTTCTAGCCCACACATTCAAAATCATAAGCCAAACTCCAAAAATCATGACATTTTAAAAAGACTGTATATTGTTTGAGTCATTTTACATGCGTCAGGTTTTTTTAAACTGAAAACAGAGCTGCATAAGTCCAGGAAGTGTGGATTTAGAAAAAACACTAAATATTGAGACTCATGATCAAATTGAGAAGAGTTGGCAATGTCGCTGTTACCACTGAAGTCAATGGAAACTTTGCAATTAATTTCTGTGAAAGTAGGGAGAACAGTGTTGACTGATTATAAAAATCCCATGCTAAACATATGCATTTTAATTGGCACACTATATTTCACAGGTGCTAGATTAAAAAAAAAGAACAACAGTCTGTATGACATTTAAAATTTATTTCATGTTATAGAATTCTGCCAAAAATCTCACCCCTAAGCATTTTTGTGACAGAAACAAGAGACTTAAATTGGATTAAACAATTCTGTATATTTAAAAGGTAAGCCACAAAATTATAGTGGACAAGTAAGGCCCATTAGCTTCAACTAACCTACTGTCCAGATGTCAGGTTACAGGCTTTTTTTAAAGAATTTGACATTTACAGTTTGACCTGATTCACTTCTACACCAAACTAAATTAGTTCACAGGAATGGAATCTGATTTCCTATAGGTTTAACTCAAAATTTTAAATCAGAGTTGCTTAACTGATTATATTCTAAAAACTATTTCATGGTTTATTACCTGATAATGAAGGGTAGGTAAAGTTTAGTTTAAGAAGCGACATGACTCTCTGCATCTCAGGGGAAGCAAACTATGTTTTTAAGGACTGAAAAAAAATTGATTGAAAGACACAGCACCCTTCAAAATTTCCTCTTTATAGTCTTATTCATGCAAACATGCACACCCAACATTTTTAAAATGTTGTTTAGCCAATGATAAATAATAATGTATTATCTGTTCATATAAGCAGCTTGTCACAGGAGCCATTCGATTAGTCCAAATGAGTAGAGATGGAATGAAGAAGAGATGCTAAAATCCATCTTGGATTTTAAAATAGGGTTAAAAAACTATTTTAGGGCTAAACTATGGATTAAATGATGTTGGAATACTGAGCACTTTCATTTTGCCCACACGAGAATAAGAAAAAACACAATAGTTTGTCATCTGCATGTAGCAAAAAAAAAAAGTGGGGGGGGAGTGACGGGGAGCTGACTTGGGAAATTTGAATCTGAACCCTGACAGGCCATTTTATGACAAGATCCTGGTCTATATATAAAGAAGACAGCAAGGAAACATGTAGAATTTCCTTTTTAAGCTACAAATACAGTAATACTCTAAAATAATAGAGTGATTATTGAGTGCATATGTAAATAGATCCACATAACATTCTCTCTCCTTTTAGCAAATTGTTAGGTGAGCAATTCATTCAAGACAGAAACAGCTGGGGGCAGCTTCATAATTGAAAATGCATTGACACTAACTGGGAAATATGCCGATCAGAGAATTTCTTAATATTTTATTGTGATGATTTCTTTTTTTTTAAAAATTAAACTGTTAAAAGTCGCTTTTCACACAGGGCTTCTTTTTACAACACAGATATTGGGCTGTTTATCTGAACCATCCAGGTCTCCTGTTATAGGTTGCATAAAATGGCTAGGTTGTTATCAATGAGTTAATTGGCTCAAATTATCAATATTTTAATTACCAATTCTTTGCCTGAGGCACACATATAAACCTGGGTAACCTAACTATTTATAATTATGTGCAAATTCACAACTTGAACATGCCCCAACAAGCTGAGCACATTCAGAATTTCAGTTCACTTGAACAGTCACGTTTCTAAAAGCCCTCTGATCTACAGTCATCAGTAACAAACAATGGTCTTTCTACAAATTGCAATGATAATACAGATCTTTTTTTCCATCCTTCTCTATTCTCACTTCCAAAAGCTATTTTATCACATCACGATTTCTCAGTTAGAATACTACAACCATGTCTTTCTTTTTTTCAAATTTTTCACAGAGACTCATATAGGTCCATTTTGACATAATCACAAGATAATCTGGCATATTACCGTTACTTCAATAGAACTAATTTTATATTTATAGTTGAGAGACAATTGACCTTTGAATAATCACTCAAATTGCCACAAGCAACCTCTTTCTGTGTGTGCACCTCATGCACATGCTCTCTTTTCTAACTGAGACTTTCAAACCTCCCTCATTTTAAGAAAAATGACAACCCACCCAATAATGTGTTGCAGTACAAAATAAATATTTCTATTAATGCAGTGCTATGCTTCACTAACTTAAAGTTTCTGTCAGATGCATCTGAGGAATTGGACAGGGTGCAGAGAAGAGCCATAAATATAATCCAAGGGCACGAAAAATACTTTACTGTGAGACTGTTGGAAACTAACTGGTCTAAAATTTTGTAAAAAAACATTAAAAGGCAATTTGATAATATGTACAAGTACCTTCATGTGGAGAAAAGACTATGTTCATAGGGGGTACCTAGTGGAGAAAGCCATAAAAAGAATCAATAGGTGTAAGTTAAAGCCAAACAAGTTGAAATAAGAAATAAGGCACACATTTTGTATGGAACAGTAACTATTGGAATAAACTACTATGAGGAATGATGGATCTGAAGACTCAAAAAGATGGAAAATCTAGAGCAGATGCTCTGAGACTTGTTCACCCCCTCCCCCCCAACCTTTAAAGTTTCATAGAAGGTGAAACTAAGACAGTTCACCACAAAATTTGAAAGAATAGAATGTTCCTCTGCTGATAAATCACCCCCAGCTCAGGAATGTCCCTAACAAGAGTTCTAAGCACCAACACAGTAAAGCAGAGACACCCAGGTGCTGGGAAATTAGGGAGGAATCAGAAAGAGAGTCAATAAATGTTAAGATAAGCTCCGACCAGCATTTTTATGCTAGCCATCATCATAAACACATAAGCTCACAACTAAGGGTACATCTACACTGCAATGAAATTTCCAGATACCAGAGTATCCCGATATAGCTATCCTGTGTCTTCACAGCAAGCCCGTGTTTGGGGGGAGGGTGCTCGCTATTGTGACATCCCTGTAAACCTCACTCTATGAGGAGTAAGGGACATTTTGGAATAGTACTTTATTTCAAAATTTGGTGCTGTGTAAACAGTGCCAAATGACAAAACAAGCTATTTTGAAATAGCATCGAAATAAAATATGCAATTTGTGTATCTTATTTTGAGTTACAGTGCTGTATCGATGCACCCTCTGTTACAATTTAGGCATGAAAAATAAAGTGTAAAAAATGTGAGCAGGAAGGAGGACACATAGGTGCCAGTGTATAACCATTACGGCATGGCTACGCAACAGGGCTAAAGCCAAAATAAGCTATACAATTTGCGATACATCAATTGTGTAGCTTAAGTCGAAATAGCTTATTTCAGCTTTTGGCACTGGCTACAGAGCAGGAACTCCAAGAAAGAGCCCTCTTTCTCCAACTCCCCTTACTCCTCATACAATGAGGGTTACAGGAGTTGGAGTAAGAAGTCCTCCAGGCTCATCATTATTTTGATATTATGTCGAAATAACTGCTTGTGGTGTAGATGCGGACTATGTTATTTCGGAATAATGTTAGTTATTCTGAAATAACACTGCTGTGTAGATATACCCTTACAAAATATTCCAGTTGACAAATTCCAGCCCCTCCAAAAGAAGTTTCATCCAAGTTTTTCAACCAGTTTTATGGTTTGCGATTACAAATCACTACTAGAAACTGTTAACGTGTTAACAAAATGGAGGTCCTGAGAATGTTGAATTCCCTTATGATCATGTAATCCCTGTATTTCTTCCTGAATCAAAATGTTGTCACAGGTATTAGCCATAGAAGCACTGCATAGAAACTCTCGCTTAGAATCTGTGTAATAACTTCTGTTAGTGTAAGTTTAAAACAAATCACCTTTCCACTTCAAATTTCAGCTTGGGATAATTTTGTCAAGTCGGCTTTTTCAATACTTGTCAAGGAAGCTAGAGCCTTGGAATGAGTCACAGTGATCCGTGATGTCATTTCCCCAAGGTTCTCTCCCACACAGATCATTTTAAAAGAGCAGACTACTGCTGGAAATAGGCAATAGCCACATGAGAACAAAAGTTATCTAGTAAGGAAATATTTATGATCTAAACTTTGTATAACTACAGTGTGTGGTGACCTTTCCTATCAGTAAGATTAAGGAAGGTAAAAATTAGAAAGATTTTTCCCCCCTCTGAAACTAAATGATGTGATAGTTTTCTATTTTGTGGATAGCCATGGAAGTCTTAGAAATAATATCCAAACAACTTTTAAAATTTTGTATTTTGACTCATTGGTATTCAGAGTAAGTTTTCTTTTGATTAAGCCTGGATATAAGAGGATAGGAACTGAAATATGAGTAAAATCCAGGGACTAGACTACAAGTGTTTATACCTCCTAAGTATAAAATTATACATTTTACATTACAAGCTGTAATTTCCTAACATTAGATGCATTTCCAAAATAGCTCAACCAGTGTCACAGGCAAATAAAAGAACTGGTAAAGAAAAGGGCAATTTCCCAGTACTTTAAAGGAGAAACAGTGGGCCCAAACTGTAAAAATGATGGGCATGGTAGATTAAAGTTTAAACTATGTGAATCCATCCACAAAAGGCAATTGGATATCCAGCAATCCTTTTGGATGTGCATTTAATGTATTTAATGTGCAGTTATCATAATTGTATGATCAAAGAGAAGGCGAGGCATTGAGCCTTCATTTTCTCTGTAGTTTTCTCTACCTTCTGCAGATTTGTAAAATTGTCTTGAATTCTGTTACCCATGTGAAACCCGAGATCAGACAATAGCCAGCTATGAACAAGCTTGGCTGGACTTCTCTCAGCAGATCAGCACAAAATCTCTTCAATTCTGAATAAACACATGGCTAGACCTCCCAGCAAATGCAGCAGTAACAGACACCAATAACCAGACTGATTGCTTTTTTTAAATGTGTGCTTGGACTTATGAACACACACACATATAAATATTTGTGTCTAGATCTATCTATACATACAGTTGCCAAACTAAAATCTAAGCAGTCAGTAATTACAGTGTTAAACTGTAAGGCTGTGTCTACACTGGCCACCTATTACGGAATAGGCATGCTAATGTAGCACTTGGGAAGAGGCAAATCCGCGGGGGATTTAAATATCCCCCGCGGCATTTGCATTTTCATGGCCGCCGCTTTTTTCCGGCTTGGAGATAAGCCGGAGAAAAGTGTCCAGACTGGCGCGATCCTCTGGAATAAAGCCCTATTCCGGAGGATCTCTTATTCCTACTTGCAATAAGAGATCCTCCGGAATAGGGCTTTATTCCGGAGGATCGCGCCAGTCTGGATGCTTTTCTCCGGCTTATCCCCAAGCCGGAAAAAAGCGGCGGACATGAAAATGCAAATGCCGCGGGGGGTATTTAAATCTCCCGCGGATTTGCCTCTTCCCAAGTGCTACATTTGCATCCCTATTCCGTAATAGGGGCCAATGTAGACGTAGCCTAAGTGAACAGATATATCACACAATCAGGACTTCACAAATTTTTGTAAGAGGCTTTAAAGTTAACTCTGAAGGTCAAAGAGCACAAGCAATGTCTGATTTAGGGAGTGACAAAATTCCAGATCTGAGTGCCCACCACTGAAAGTGTCCAGTCTCTAGCCCTAAGCATTAGAACCTCATGAGTATTTATCCAAGTGTAATAAGTAATCTTACCTGTCATAATGATATATAAAGAAGAGGTGGAATTCCAGGTTCACCAATAACATGCTCAGAGTCAGAAAATAGCAGGCACTGAATATATGATATACAGCAATATCTGTGACAGGATCATTGTGTTCAGTGGACGATGCTGGGATATACTCCAAGAAAAGCACCCTGAGCAGATGGAAACATTAGGTTCACTGTGTCTTCACACAGATGATCAGCAGCTCTCTCATTGCACTGCTGCTGTTTCATGGCTGATTTTTCTCAGGGCCAGCCTATTTTTTAAAAGTAACTTGGTTTCCCCTATTCCCAGCATGAGAATGAAATCATAATGAACAGAAGTTAAAGACTGGCCATGTCAAGTTTGTAAATCATGGAGGGAAAAGGAAGAAGGAGGTACTCGGCCATGCCTTTCCACTTAGAGAATTAGATGGTTTTCTAAAGGATGACATTTTGTATAAAGCAAACACTTCAGAGGCTAATTTGAACCCATTCATATTCACCTGTCACAAGCCTGAATTATTTAAATGGGCTTTCTCCCTAATAGCAATACTCACAATCCACATAATATTGGTACTAATACCTCAAAATTAAAACAAAAACACCAGATAGATCCGCTCATTTCATAAAAGGAATGAGATAAAAAAGAAAGCCAGATGATTTTATTATTGTTGTTATTCTTCTAATGCTACTAGTGCCTCACCTGTCACAAGCCTGAATTATTTAAATGGGCTTTCTCCCTAATAGCAATACTCACAATCCACATAATATTGGTACTAATACCTCAAAATTAAAACAAAAACACCAGATAGATCCGCTCATTTCATAAAAGGAATGAGATAAAAAAGAAAGCCAGATGATTTTATTATTGTTGTTATTCTTCTAATGCTACTAGTGCCTGAAATGAACTTTCTGTTTTCCTGCCGAAGCTGTCTTGGGTACATGCATCAAAAAAGCTATTGTACATAAGGTCAAATGAACAGTAATATAGACTCATACTAATAACAGTTAAAGAAAAGGTTGTTCTGAAAAAAAAAAGAAAACTTAAAATAAAATTATATATGCTTATATATGATTTTCCTTTACAATTTTATCCCAAAGGTTCTGTATCCATGCTGTCATAGTAAACTTTATTTTCATTTTCAAAGTATATTTAAGGTATCCCTTTCACCCCTTGCATTAGCAGCTAGCACATAGAAGCAACAATTTTCTTTATTTATGTAATAATAGAAAGAATCTTGTAACGATTATGAACAATTCTGTTTAATGGAATGCTGTCAGAAAGTTGAGGCTTCACATGTAGGTTTTGTAAATGATTTTTCTAAAACATGTATTTTAATATAATTCTTGCCAATAGGCAGGCCCACTGATGGGGAAGGAGGGCAAATGAAGCAGTTGCCACAGGGCCTGGCATTCCAAAAAGGCTGAGAGCCCCGGGCCCTTTAAATCACCAGCAGAGATTTATGAAGGGTAGTAGCATGGGAGCATTGGTAGAGACGTGAAATGACTAGTCTATGGCCCTCTTAGTTCCCACCCATTGGCGTATCCATTGAACTATGTTTACTCTCCAATAATTTAACGGATCCTCCCAAAACATATAGCTCTTACTGAATTTGCAGAATGAATTTCCAGGTAAGTTTGTTGTACACATTTTAAAATATCTCTGTTTATAACTATCCATTTCTTTTTTGAGTGACTCTAACCTTGTTAGGATGCTTCTAACAAAGAAACCTCTGAGGTATGAGATGTGAGAAGTGACTGATAGTATGCTACAAATCTAGTGTATGGACTGAAAGTGTTTTTTTCTAAATGTGACACTTAGTCATACCCATTTTTATTCTCACTGAATTGTTTAACTTTAATGGTACTACTCACAGGTCAGAAAGCTAAGCATGTGCTTCATTGTTTGTATGACTGGAATTTTAGTTCTTCTCTGAAAAAAAATAGCTATGCCACTATTTATGCTAAGAGAGTAAAAGAGGCAAACTATCTCCAGTGTGGACAAAATTGTATTGTAACTGTGGCCACTTAGGAGGTTTTTTTGTTTAACTATGCTTGTTTAACAATAAAAAAGTCCTTCACACCCACACACAAAGAACCATAATATCAGTATAAAAATGTGTGTAGACAAGGCCTAAGTCAGCAAAATAAGTTTAATGGGAATGAAAGTTTAACTATATAAGGTCAGAATTTAAAGTCTGTTTTCCCTGCCCCGTGTACATCCATAGGATAATACACATGAGAAAATGAAGCAGACTTTGCAGGGTAAGCTTTCCAGTTTCCATAGAATCTTAGGGTATGTCTAGACTACATGGCTCCATTGACGGATCCATGTAGATGTGTTTACTAGACATAGGAAAATGAAGCGGCAATTTAAATAGTCACCGCTTCATTTACATCAAAATGGCCACCATGCTGTGCCAATCAGCTGTTTGGCGGCACAGCGGGGCAGTCTGGACGTGCCACGGTCAACAAGAGAAGCCTCTGTTGACTGCTCCAGTATGTCTCGTGAAATGAGGTTTACCAGAGCGGTCGACAAAGGTTTCCCTTGTCGACAGCAGTGCGTCCAGACTGCTCCCATGCCACCTTTTCTCCTGCCTCCCTGTTATGTCTCTTGTGCCCTCCTTACTCTAGAAGCACAGAGATGGTGGAGTGCTGTGATGGAGCAGAGAGAATACATATGCACCAACAACAGACACAATTTTCTACACTCTGGATATGTCTAGACTACATGCCTCTGCCGACAGAGGCATATAAATTAGACATATTGACATAGTCAATGAAGTGGGGATTTAAATATCCCCTGCTTCATTAGAATAAAAATGGCCACCGTGTTGTGCCGGCTCAGCTGACAGTCAAGACAGGGATCGGTCGGCAAGGAAAGCCATTGTCGACCGATCCCTTATGCCTCATGAAATGAGGTTTACAGGATCGGTCGACAATGGCTTTTCTTGTTGACCGATCCCCGTCTTGACTACCACTTTGAGCCGACCAACAGCTGAGCCGGTTCCTAGTGGCGCCCCCTCCCACAGTCTGGCACCTGAGACCATGAGGAGAACTGAGGCAGCTGTAAGGCCAGCCCTGGGTATTATCTCACCTACCTTGTCACTTATATACCTGGGAAAGCATACAGAGCAACAGATACCATCTAGAGCAATCAACAGCAATCAACAGATTTCAAAGACTATATTCATTTTTTGTAGCAATTCCAGCAGCTGACAGCTAACTTCAACAGTTTAGAAATAAAGAGATTAAGGATTAGACTTTCCAGAAATTTTAACTCGGGCTAGCAGCTTGGGCTAGAGGGGTCGATTTCAAACAAAACAAAACTATTACCTTGGTGATGGGATTGAAACAATGTTCATGACTGAAAGCCTGCTTACAGTACATTAGAGAGAGA